TTCATTGCACTTTCCAAAGTGTTGTTTAGTGCAATTGGGACCTCTAGGTGCCCCTGAATTCTGTGGCCTTGGCCCGTGCCACCTTGAGTCCCTATTCTTTTTCGCGGGTGGTGCCGACATCTTGAACGAACCACCGCCTCTGTGGTTGTTCTTACGCGAATGATCGAGCGGTCCCGAACTGTGCCATTTCCTCTTCTTCGCCTCCTCGATGTCGCTTTCTTTCCTTTCATTCCATTGGGTTTCTCCAAGCATACCTTGTTCCACTACTTCACTAAAGGTCATGTGGCGTGAATATGTGGCCCGATCACGGATGTCCAAAAGTAAGGCATCCCAAAAGTGTTCGGTCATGCGGTCCTCGTCGGCCGCATACTCCAGTAAGAACCTAGCCAAGGTTCTAAACTCTTGCTCCAACTGCTTAACAGTCACACCTTCCCTTTGCTTGAGGTCGGTGTACTCCCTACGCTTCACATTGACCTCGTAGTCGGAGTAGTATTAGGCATAGAACTCCTGCTCAAAGTTCGCCCAGGAGATAGTTCCACAGTACTTCCCTTCTACACTCTCCCACCATGTAGAAGCGATCCCTTCAAGAAAACGTGAAGCAACGGTCAACTTCATGTCAGGTGTTATTTGCATGTCTCTCGCTGCATCTTTCACCTTCTTTATCCAATCGGCGGCAATGGTAATGTCACCGGTGCCGTCGAAGGACCTGCACCCCAAGGCTCTAGCCTCCTTGAGGTATTTAGAGATCCTCACACAGAAATCTCCCCCACGCCCACCTTGGGACGTCCCTGAAATGGCCCTTGAAGCCCCTCGGCTTCCTTGACCCGAACCTCCTGAAGGGGCACGCCTAGTTTGGCGCCTCAACTCTCTCCTTTGTTTCTCCTTTTGATACCATTCAAACAATTCATCCAATAGGGCGAATCGGGCATCACTCTCGTCATGCTCATGGTTTTCGGTAAGACTCTTTTCGAAAAATCCCTTGTGAGAGGTTGATTACATAGTTTAGATCTGAGATGGCTCTGATACCACTTAATTGTCACGCCCCAGACCGCATCTAAGCGCGTGTACAACCGCCGTGTGATTAAGTGACGTCACTCGCAAATCAACCTCACATAATCACACAAGGCGTTCATGAACATCGTTCACACCATACTCAGTAGTAAACATACATAACAACATCACATCATAGATTGAATGAATAGCGGAAAATGATCAACGGTCAATCATAAGCCACATATGGCAAAACGTAGGCTCCCATGCCAAAACAATGTAATATTACAAAAGTATCCATGAGCATAGTTTATGATTTAAAATAATAAAGGAAGCACGAACCACGTCTTCCTCTAGATTCTTTCCACTCGTGCAAAGGTGTAGACAACAGGCTCTAGCTTCAACCTGAAATGGTGGGCCCCCCCGAAGGGGTCAGTACAAGTACTGAGCGAGTAGCAAGCTAAATGTAGAGTAACTAACGTTTCAAGTATAAGACCCAAACATAGGGTGATACATATACTTATACTTCCTTACCCCAAGTTACAAAATACATATCAGTGCTTATATACACTTGGAAATACCCGACCCGTAGGTCATTGTTTAATTGGGAAAAATAATAGTAGTCAATGTCCTTGACTTAAAACCCCAACCCACCCATAGACCTATGAGTGTATAGGACTCCTCTTGTCCAGATCAAATAATCATAAGGACACCGCCCGATCCTGAATTTCTAAATAGTAATCTATGAGTTTTGAGGATACACGCCCGATCCTTGGGTACTCCACCCTATATAACCGAGTTTTGAGGATACCGCCTGATCCTTGGGTACTCCACCCTATATAACCGAGTTTTGAGGATACCGCCCGATCCTTGGGTAGTCCACCCTATATAACCGAGTTTTGAGGATACCGCCCGATCCTTGGATACTCCACCCGGCCTATGATCTACCACATATCATACTAGATAGGGCTTATATCATAATCAATAAACAAGACTAGACCAAGTCTTAAGGCCTAAACAAAATCATCCATGCAACTCATGCATTAAAATTAGCATATAGGTAAAGTAAGGCCAAACCGGCGCCGGTCAACTCTCAGTTGACCCACCATTCCAAATCCAATGCGTGTCAAACTTAGTCACAATATGTACTAAGTTATAAATAACTATTTTATGCACATTTCATCTCTAAACATATCACGTATGTTTTTATGAGCATTTTCAATTCACAGATCAAGCATATTTAAATAGTTCACTTCATACAAGCCTAATCACTTTAATTGGCTAATAACATGTTTAATTCATTTAAATATAATTATGAACACACATAACATATACTTAGGTAATCTCATGCTTAACCCAAAAGTTACAAGACATTAAGCCATCCACTCACCTCAAATGAGCTTTAGGAAGATTCTACTCTTCTTAGTTGAACTCCGGCGAACTCCGGCGAAATCTAGAACCACTTTAGTCAAGCTCCTAATATGGTTTTATCATTACAAAACCCATATCAACACAAATAACCCCTAAAAGGTTATTTTCCGGTGAACCGGTCGTTTTGGCTTCTAAGTCCGTTCTTGGACTTAGAACTACCTTCCAACCCCTCATTCTACACTTCTAAACATGTAGAACAATCCTAGGGGTCCTTCATATGCTATATAAGCCATATGATAAATGAAAAGTAGAGGAAAAGTTATTATGAGGTTATTACCTTAATGCTTCACAATTTTGCTAACTTTTTCCTTCTTAAATCCTCCTCTTTGGACCACTATGGCTAGAGCTCGAATTTGGGTGTGAAAAGGGTGAGTTGTAGAGCTTCCTCTTGCTATCTTGGTGAGCTTGGGCGGATGAATGGAGGTGGTGAGGGGAGAGAGGTAACCTTTGTCTCATTTAGACAAATGAGTGAGGTGGAGGTTCACCTTTGGTCCTTTGTCACCCAATACATCACCCTCAGCCCCCCTTCTCATTATTCACAGCCATAATTTGACAATATCAACACCTAAAAACGTGGGGTGGCCCCCACTCGCGTGGGAGGTCATCCCTTTGTGTCCCGAAATTTACAATCGGCCCCGAAAGTTGTATTTCTCGGACTGTTTTAATTATATTTTATTTTATCGGGTCAAATAAAATTTATTAAGTGTCCTCCATCATTATGGGTCTTTAGAACGAATCTACATACCCCAACTTTAATTTAGAAGTCTCCGAAATTCGTTTCGGACTGTTATCCGGTAATTTACTAATACCGGTAATTGGGTCTCGTTTGACCAACGGGTCAACCCTATGCTCTTTCTATGGCCCAATTAAAATATCCACCACCATATAAATATTATCTAGACCAAGATGAATATACTGTGGTCCCGGGATTACCGGACGGTCCCCGCTCTCAGTGTGGGCCCCACGTGCAGTTCACTATTCACGCGAAAGAAATAACCAAAATTTTACAACCACGTAAATTCATAAATCAATATTGAAGATTTATTACATGATTTACTAAAAAGTAAATATATTTGGGGATAATGTTACATTAATGGTCGCCGAGGGCTGACCCATCAACCCCTAAGGGCCTCCTATGAATGTCCTATCCTAAGCCCAAGAAGAAGGTCAAGTCTCGAGACCCAAAGGATAAGGGACGTACGTAGCCCACTAACAACGGGCATCCAGGCCCAAAGATCAGAGGACGTACGTAGCCCGTAGTCAGGCAATACCAAGGCCCATATCAGAAGACATACGGGCTCTACTGCCAGTGGATATCCAGGCCCCAAGGATCAGAGGATGTACGTAGCCCATTGCTAGCCAGTAACGGGACCCGGGGGCCAGGAGATGTACGTGATCCAGTGACGGCAGGAGAGTACAGAAGGACGAACGTCTCTTATTCTTATGACAAGAGATCAGGCTTCCATCAGAAGATTGGACCCAATCCCATAGGGACGAACGTCCCCACCCCGTGGCGGGAAACCAAGATCCTGATGGGAAACACATTAAATGCAGAAGATTTGGTGGTTGGGATCATGTCGCTCACAGCCAGCCACGTCAACGCTCCCAACTACCCCTGGATAGTATAAATAACAACATTTATTTCATTGTAGGGGGTTCACAATTTAGCATTCAAGCACCCTATCATCAGTATCAGTTCGTAGCATCTGTATTGTACGCTCGGTCCTTCGGCTTGTAATAGTTTGAGCAAGTAAAGACAGTTGTGGCCCATTTTCCTGCTTGTTTCTTCATCTTACTTGCCCATTACCCATTCGAAACTCCCAGGTTACGTGTTGGGCCTGCGGGTTGAGGGAATAAACCTCAACAACTAGTAAAGTCATTTCTTCAATTCATTAAGGAAAACAGAGACGTGTCTCATTTCTTTGGTTTTAGAAAACGATTTGTTAAACACATTTTTCTGTTTTCCTTTCTCCAATTTTCCAACAAGTTTTTTTGTAAACACCTTTTCTGTTTTCTTTTTTTTCAGTTTTCCATATTTTCAGTTTTCCTTTCTAGTTTTATTATTGAGTAATAATTTGATGGAATTTTATCGATCCGGGACCGTAAAGATAGACGGACTATCAATTTGGGACCTGAAAGATAAAATGTATCTGTATAGGACCCGAATGATGAAAAACTATCAATCTAGGACCCGAATGATTGACAACTATCAATTTAGGACCTAAATTTTCATAAATTTTATTATTATTTTTATTTTCAAAAATTTAAATAGTTTTTAGTTTTATTAAACTAATAAACTTTTGTGAAGAAAATTTCACCAAATATTAGCAATGGAATTAATTAAAAATTAAATAAATCAAAACCTATAAATGTTAGGTTTTAGATTGATAGTTTTTATCCTTCAAGTCCTATACTGATACATTTCATATTTCAGGTCTCATATTTCACGGATGGATAAAATTCCTAATTTGATCGATTTTATGTCATTCTTTTATCCAACTCACATAGTAGTTCAAAAACACCAAATACGGAGTATTTAATTTCCTTATGGAATATTCACACTATTTAAGAGCATGATCGACGGATCGAGTATAAAAGAAAGAAAAGGTTAGGGAGATAATATCTTGCTCATTAGTTGCCGACATACGTAGTATTATACTCCGTACGTATATGGAAACCCCACGTCTGTTAGCGAGCGCGAACGACGTGAATGGTGGCGATCCATTAGCTCCGTCTCCATCAAATTTCACACGCGTCTGCAACCTCTCGGCGGCTGCAACGGCCTCAGCTTCCGTTCTTCTTCTCCTCTCCATAGCTATAATGATCTCTTCCCTCAAAGGACCTCGTGATGACGAAGCAGTGATCCCGATCATCGGAGCTGTCGGGCCGGAGAGCTTTGCGTTCGATTCCAACGGTGACGGTCCTTACACAGGCGTCTCTGATGGCCGGATTATCAAATGGCAGCGCAACCAGAGCCGCTGGATTGATTTCGCCGTCACGTCCCCGGAGAGGTAAGTACTTCAAGGAGCGTCTGTCCATCACTTCATTCCTTTCTATATTTTTTTAGAGAAGTTGGCTTAAATTGATAAACATCATTCACATAATGGGTAAAAAGACAGAAACATCTTGTCAACCGCCGACTCTCGAACCAGACTTAGAGTTTATCATCTTTTATAAAGAAGCAACATAACTAGTTGATCCATTACTGGGCGCAAATGAATCAAAGACGGTTATCGCAGACCTTTCTTCACCCACATCCAAAAACACAGTCTTACAATGGAATAAAACACACAACCTAATGTAAACGGTAAACTTCAGACAATTAAAAAATAGAAAAAAAAATAAATAAAACTCCTTCCCCCTCCCCTCGTACAGATCACCACCATCTTCCATGTACCTGGAGCCTCCTTCTGTCTTAGATACTTCGGCGGGCCTCTGACTCGGAGCCCCCCTCCTCCCCGTTTTTGCCATATCATGTTCAGAACCATGTTATCTCCGCGGCCAATTTGATTCTCTTTCCAGAACCATGTCCCAGAGGAGTACTAGAGGCGAGAATAGGCAGAGGCTCATTGTTATTATCTCCATCTGTTTGGGTGTTTATATTGTCTTTTGAATTTCAAACATGTCACTACATGTGTTGCTCTTTCTTTTTATTATTTCAAAGAATGAAATTCTATATGGATGTTTGTGTGCTTGTTACTGGATTGGGTTAGGGGTGTCCTCAATTTGAATTTCATTGGAATTTTAAAAAAAGTAATTAATGTGAAACTTCCTTTTTCTGTCTTCTTATTAGAACTCAACCATAGTCCACACACACACACATATATATATAGAGAATTATCTTGTAGTCATAAAATTCTTGACCGTGGCTAGGCATGGCAATGGGTCGGGGCAGGCCAGGTAGTGCAGGACCTGGACCCACCCCATGACATAACTAGGTGGACCCGCTCCGCCCCGTGACCCGCACGGGTGTTATATGTGTACTAATATTCTGCATGCACATGAAATAATAATTAAATAATTAAGGAAACATGTATAATTACTTGTAACCGAGCCCAACTTAAGCGTTGTTTCCGTAAGACGTTTTTGCCCGACACACGTAGCAATCGTCTCACAGGATATAACGGTTCTTCGCTCCCAACGGGATTCCGGCGAACTCAAAGATGCAACGAAGGAAGAGAGAATATGGAGGATTGTGTGATGATTTTCGGATTTCACAAAATTGAAGAAAAGGCGGGTATTTATATAGCATTGGTCAGAAGTCTCTAGCCCAAAAGACACCTATTAAAAGAAAGTTCATGACCTTTCTTTTAAAACAAATGATTGTGTCTTTTATTTGGTTTTATCCGGGAAAAAAAAATAAAACGTAGCAAAAAATAATCTCTAGTCTTTAGCCATACGGAGATGTCCGGTGAGACTCGAACTCGATCCGACCCGGCCGACTGACGGCGGCGGTGTGTGCATGTTAAATATAATTTCACGCTTATCTTTCGGGGAATAATTTCTCATTCATTTCAAAATGGTTTTTCACAAATAATATTAGTAATATTAATTTGTAAAACCATTTTTTCAACAATCGTCCACATGAATGGGAAATTGGCTTAAAGACAGGAAACAGATTGGAATTTGACATGGGAAGATGGGAACTCTGCATAGGGTTAGGTAGTCGTGAAACTTTGAACCTACCTTAGTGTATATCCATCAGATTTACTGGACAATCGGTAGCACTTTGCTTTGAACCGTCAGTCATTATGTAAACCTAGACAATGAATAACACACAGAGCCCCGAGTGCATCTTTGGTTCTCACGTTTGTGTTCGTTTCGGCCATGAACACCTCCTGGTTCAGCTAGTGTTTTCGAGAGTATATCGTGCATCGGAGAATTTATCTCGTACCATGGACTCTCATAGAAGCGGCCTTCTTCCACCGGCATAGGTGATCTCTATGGAAGGTATCATGCCATACCTTACTTGAACGTATCAAGATATAGAGATCATTAAAAGCGTAACTTACCCTAAACGCTCATGGCATGAGTGTACTATATCTTGATTAGTACCGCCCGAGCCAGTCCACAGTTGTGTTTTCCCTATGAACCTAATTATGAGGCACTCTCAATAATAGGTAGGGTTTCCTCATGGACATTTATTGGATCATTGACAGTATGCCCATTGCTCTCCTTGACGTCTCGACCAACTCCCTTGGTAGAGGTTTCGTTAGCGGATCCACAATATTTTATTTCGACTTAACATAGTCAAGAGAGATGATCCCATTTTTTATTAGTTTTCTAACGATATTATGTCTACGACGGATGTGTCTAGACTTACCGTTATAAACCGCACTCCTTGCCCTTCTAATTGCAACTTGACTATCACAATGAATGGATATTGGAGGGACATGCTTTTTCCAACAAGGAATATCTTCCAAAAATTCTCTCAACAATTCAGCTTCCTCTCCGACCTTATCTAAGGCAATGAATTCAACTTCCATGGTAGATCTTGCAATACATGTTTGTTTGGAAGATTTCCATGACACAACACCATTTCCAAGGGTAAACACATATCCACTCGTTGATTTTGTGTCCTTGGAATCGGATATCCAATTTGCATCGGTATATCCCTCAAGCACGGCTGAATATTTTTTAAAATGTAAATCATAGTCTTTGGTATACATCAATTACCCAAACACCCTTATAAGCGCTTTCCAGTGTTCTCTATCGGGGTTTATTGAAAACCGGCTTAGCTTATTCACAGCTTGAGCTATATCGGGTTGTGTTCCATTCATGACATATGTTAAACATCCTATGACCCGAGGATAGTCATCTGGTGAAACACTTTCTCCTCTATTTTTAGTGAGGTGAACACTGGAATCAAAAGGAGTTCTCATGGGTTTGATATTATACTTCTTCAATCTCTCAAGCATTTTCTCATCGTAGTGTGATTGAGATAATATCAATCCTTCAGGTGTTTTAGTGATTTTAATCTCTAGAATTACATCCGCGACACTGAGCTCCTTCATTTCAAATTTCTTGGCCAACATGCTTTTGGTAGCCTTTATCAAATTATTGTTACTACCAAAAATGAACATATCATCTACGTATAGACAAACTATGACGTAGTCATTTTGATTGCCTTTCACATACACACATTTGTCGACCTCGTTGATTTTAAATCCATTTGACAGCATTACACTATCAAATTTATCATGCCATTGTTTGGGGGCTTGCTTTAACCCATAAAGAGATTTTACTAAGCGACAACCCTTTCTGTCTTGTCTGGGGACAGTAAAACCTTCAGGTTGTTGCATGTAAATCTCTTCCTCTAAGTCACTGTTTAAGAATGCAGTTTTTACATCCATTTGATGGATTTCCAAACCCTTCAATGCAGCTATTGCCAATAGCATTCGAATTGAAGTTATTCTTGTAACCGGAGAGTAGACATCGAAGTAGTCGAATTCTCCCTTTTGGTTGTATCCTTTGGCAACCAATCGAGCTTTGTACTTCTCAATTGTTCCATCAGTTCTTCTTTTCTTTTTGAAGATCCATTTGCATCCTAGAGGTTTAGATCCAGGAGGCAAATCTACAACTTTCCAAACGTGATTAGACATGATGGAATCAATTTCACTCTTGATAGCCTATTTCCATTGTGCAGCATCTGGTGAGGACATGGCTTCCTTATTAGTTTGAGGCTCATCATCTAGAAGGTATACAACAAAATCGGGTCCAAAATCTTTTGATTTTCTAGCCCTTTTGTTGCGCCCCCTTTCACATTCTTGTGCTATTTCGTTGTTCTTTCATAGAATTAAAAGGCCTCTTATGTGAGTTTGTTTCTTCGACATGGGTTGGAATGAAAACATCCATGTCAGAGGATACAACTTCACAATCTCCCTTGAAAGGGAACACATTCTAAAAGAATGTAGCGTCTCTAGATTCTATAAAAGTATCGTCCATTATATCCATGTTATGGGATTTGTGGACAAGGAAAAGAAATGCACTACTATTTTGTGCATATCCAACAAAGACACAATCAATGGTCTTTGGTCCAAGTTTTGTCCTCTTAGGTTTGAGAATAGCTACTTTAGCTAGACATCCCCACACCTTCAAGTAATTAAAACTTGGCTTGCTCCCTTTCCATAACTCATATGGAATTTTGAGAGTTTTCTTGTGGGGCATTCTATTTAGATAGTAGTTGGCAGCTAAAATAGCACCCCCTCAAGTCGTCTGGTGCACGAGAACTTACTAACATGACATTAACTATGTCCTATAAAGTCCTATTCTTCCTTTCGGCTACTCCATTTGATTGAGGCGTATAAGGAGCGGTTACTTGATGAATAATTCCACTTTCCAAACAAATTGATTCAAATGGATATTCATACTCGCCACCTCTATCACTCTTTAGTGCCTTAATCTTCTTACCAAGTTGATTTTCAACTTCGGCTTTATAATGCTTAAAAGCATTAACCGCTTCATCTTTGCTTCTTAGCAAATACAGATAACAATATCTAGTGCTATCATCGATGAAGGTTATGAAATACCTTTTCTCATGTCTAGTTTCTTCGTACTTTAAGATCACATAGATCTGTATGTATGAGGTCTAGCGGTTCAGTCTCTCTAATAGAATGAAAAGATTTTCTAGCCATTTTTTCTTCAACACAAATTTGACATTTGTGATTAGGATCAATATGACATTTAGGAAGCAATTGTAAATGCATTGGTCTACGCAAAGTATCATAATTGACATGTCCTAATCTAGCATGCCAAACAGAAGAAGACTCAAACAAGTAAGACGAATCCACTTTATTATTATCAACAAGTTTGGGTACAATGGTAAGTACATTCATTTTGAAGAGACCATCATTTAGATAGCCCTTCCCTACAAACACATCATTTTTAGTTAAGTACAAATTTATCAGCCACAAAGACTAGTTTAAAGCCATTCTTGCTTAGGAGGGAGCACGAAACTAGATTCTTGCGTATGTCAGGGACATGTAGCACATCGTTCAAGGTAAGAGTTTTC